AGAAGCCAGTCAACCATATAATAGTGGAAACACAGCCCCAGGACATGAAGATGAAGAGCAAAAGCCCTGACCACCCAACAGAAGATGCCGAAAGCATGCCTAAAGGGTAGGACGTGAAACTGGTACACCACCCCGTGCTGAACAAGCCGAAGATATGGACGATACTGTGCTGAGACTGGAATATGCAGGTAAACATGACGACATCCATCTTGGTCATCCATAAACCTTGAGAAAATGCCCCCTGGAGAGTGAGATACGACTCTATGGTGACATGGGGAAGGTGAACGAAGCGATTGAGGAGGTACAAATCAATAACAAGATCCAGTCCCCAATTTTCTTGGGAACAACAAATATTCAGGGGTAAAACCCTGGTGAATGATGGGGAACAGGTTCTATAGCCTGTTGAGTGAGGAAGTCCTGAACCACCTCTGACAGACACTAACAAACAATGGGATCACTAGCTGGAGGGAAGGAAGCGGGTATAGGAGACAGGGGAAGGCATTGCAAGAAATGGGATCTCAAATCCTTTTGACAAAACTTGAAGAACCAAACATCATTGACAAAAGGTTGCCATTGATGGAGAAAGGCTGCAAGCCGAGCTCCCACTGTTGACAACATGATGTGCATCATCAACGAAAATGACGAGCTGTGGTACCTCAAGAAGGGGGGACAGGTAAGGTTGTGAACGAGAAGGACAGGAAACTGCAACAGGTGCCACACTTGGCTCTGACTGAAACAAACGGACTACCAGATAGGAGAGGGTAGACTGTTGTTGGATTGATGCCACCCGAGATTCTAAAGACTCTAAGATCGTATCAAAAACAAAATGCTGTAAAAACAGGACCATACACAAGTCCCATAGATAAGATGTAGGTAAATGGGCCCTCGATAAGACAGCATCCCAGCCCAGAAGGTCCCAACAACAGAGAAACCAGGAACGTAAAGCCAGAGCCAAAGACGACAAATGAGCCAAGGTGGAGGTAAGGAGTGAGAGGATGTCCCCAGAAAAACCCTCAGGATTTTTGTGAAAAGTTTCAGATAGGAGATGAATAGTGGAAAGATACTGAAAAAGAGTCGTGAGGGTAAGACGTAAGTGGGAAAATTGGGCATGGGTTAAACTGATAGGAGATTTGAGGTCCATCCTCCAAATGGGTAAAACAGAACCCAAAAGTTGCTGGTCAAGATGAGGACAGTCTGTACGATGAGAAGCGAGGGCAGACTGATCCGAAGCCTGTGGAGGATGAGGCAAGCTAACGATGTCATTTAATTGGGAAGCAAATTGTTCAGTATAGACCCAAATGTCAGGGGAGGGGGGAAAAACAAATAGGGTTGGAAAGAATGTTCATGCAGTAAGGAAGGACATTGGTCATAAGAAATATGGGCGAGGAATAAAACATCACATACCTGAGAGACAAAGTCCAAAAAAAATGACATTGACTTCAGAATTCATGTTTTTCTTCAAGAGTCAACAGAAAGGCAAATGTATAAAAAAAAGGTGACTGTAATGAGTTAGAATTAAGGTACTTTGAAAGAAAACTAGGTAGGTTATGAAGTATAACCCCTTCAAAAAGAAACTGTTATCTCAAACTGTTGAAATCAAATCAAAAAAAGAAACACGTCTGAACACAAGCGCTGCCAAACAAGAAGTGATAGTTTGTTAGAGTCACATAGAGGGAGTCACACGCGTCATGCAAGTATACTATATTCCTATTGACAGAGAGGTGACGCATGATGATTTACATGAGAGACGTTGGAATCACTTGATTCCAAAATGGGGGAGCAGAAGGCTTGTGGCATGCATATAGAAATAGCTGACATATAGATGGCAGCAATAGCTAATCTCGTGAGCGAAGGGAAGTACCATATTGGAAATGCTCCTCCATAAACATGGAATATATTTTTAACAAATATGTAATATTTCAAAATACATTATTGTACATATTATGTGTACATTAGTTATTTATGAACACATACACAGATGTATAGATGATCCCAATATAACACTAAAATATCTTTTAGATATAATTTAATGGTTTTCCTACATACAAATTTTACATTTTGTACAACAAATCCAGGTTAATACACAAATGATACAATACAAACTCTCCAATCTCTGACGTGGCAAACAGAAACAAAAATGTAAGCTAAGCTTCTATTGAATACAGTCAATGTATTACAAGAAAAATCCTGTTCAATTTACATTTCACAGAAAAGAAAAATACATGCTTCATAAAACTCAAGAGTATGTGGCAATTTGGCATTGTAAGTGAAAGGAATTAATACTTAAAGTCAGATGTTTTATATAATGATGAATAAGTAAATACTACTACAAAGTATTTATATTAGTATATACTTCCATCATTATTTAAAACATCTGACTTTAAGGTTGAAGAGGGAAAAAAAAGAATTATGATAAACTTAATGATGAAAAATCCCAAATATAGCTGTGATAGCCAAAATTATAACTAACTTTATGACACAGTTTAAAGGTTTTCATATTAATATATGCTACAATACAAAATTCAATATACCAAAAATTAAATGGTTTATTAGATTATCATTCCCAAAAAATATGCATACTCGATAACATAGGGCTGTCCACCTTTCCTTTTGAGCTTCTTTAACATTAAGTCAAGAAATCATACAAGATTTTTCTTTTACTCTATTCTAAATAGTTTATCACATACACACTTGTTTCCTGTATATTTTTTAGAAAAAGTTGTTCATGTGAAATTTTGTAAGAAAATGTTGCTGTGTTTTGGGTATAGCTATCTTTCACCCTTATGTTCCCTTTAATGGACAGTAAAAATCACTTGGACATATCTTTAGGAAAAAAATTTTCACAAAGCCAGTGTACATAAATAGATAAGGCAAAACATAATATTTTAACAGGTATGTTCAAAACAATCTCTAAGTATCGCCACATTATAATGTCACAACTTACCATTAAAAAATGAAAACAAGGTATCAATCTGTTTTTGAAAGTACCTTTCTGACAAATTTTTACTTCCTTTGATAAAATACAGCATGCCTAAGGAGAACATTATATAGTACACTGAATGAAATACTACACTAATATTTGTTATTTTACCACTGTGAAATAACAATGTTTCTGATTCCTTATCAGATGGCACACTTCTAAGTTATTTCTGTAATTACACCAGATTGAGTGATGGATAAAAAAAAAATATTTGATCCACACAGTTTTAGTGAAATACTTTGAACCTGGAGACAGTGTGAAAAAAAAATTACATAAATCACACACACTATTGTTTATTGAACACAAATAGCAATTACAATAGATACTTTTGTTAGTTTCATAACATCAGTAACCACTTGTATCAGTAAAATTGATTAGTTTACACACTGTACGAGTTGGAACCAAGATTACAAGAAATGAAGGAAATAGTTTAGCTATGTTATAAACAGTTATTACTTATACATAATACACCACACATAAATAACAATTACATACACAATATTTATGATAAACTGATTTTAAATAATGAAACTTTTGTTTTCAAAATCACGGCCTCTTGGTTAAAGCCTCATTATGAATCATTACTGTGTATCCTAGTTTCACAAATACTACAGACATACCTACAATATATACATACCCACACATACATAATATACATGTCACACACACACAAGTAAAATACAAATTTGCAACCCTTTATTTTTTGTCATAAAAGCATGAAATCAGCCAAATATCAAAATGAAAAAAGTAGTGCATTTCAATTTGAATCAACAGTGATAAAAACTGTTTATTTATTCTGTGTTTTGAGAAAAACTTTTACAAAAGTAAACTAAAGCATTTTTAAAAATAAACACTTTAAGTTTTGAAAAAACACGAGTTGTTTCTTTCATCTTGTCTTTGCATTTTTTTAAATTCATATAAAAATACATGTAAGCTTAATATTTAAAATAAAACATTGTTTTCAATTAAAGTACATTCTATAAAAACATATACAATGTACATTTAAAAGAAGCCAATAATTTTTACACAACACTGAATCACAAAGAAACATTGAAGCAAAAAATAAAGTCAGCAAGAAACAGCCTTAGCCCTTTAAAAAGGCAAGACCTTTATCTGTTAGAATCTCTTTAAAAAGGACTCATTCTGACAAAAATATCTTGCACTCTTTGGTCAATATTATTTTTCTACATGTTAGTGAAAAGCTTGGACAAGCTACCTTCTTAGCAGTGTACAAGTATTGGACCAGTTTCAGAGTATAAATCAATATGGTTGGAAATTGCAGTAAATATATATACTGATTCTGCCCCATTTAAATTCACAAATTGAAGTAAAAAAATTACAGATAGATGAGCAGTTCATCTTATATTTTAATAAGAAACTATATTAGACATCCAGACATACATCCCCAACACTTAAACAATCCCCAAAATGTGTCTCTTTGTTAAACTTGTCATTTTTATATATTATCCATTATTTCATATTATCTATAAATAAATTAAAACAAAAAAAAAACAATTACACCTGGAACAGAGAAATTAAATTTTAAGATGTACAATTCAATAACCTGTCTAGCTAATAATATCCAGCTGCATTAATAAAGGTTTAGTTTGAAATTCCCAGCCTTCCCATGAATTTATATATAATAAACAAGCACAACTATAAAAATTTACTGTTGAGTAACAGGAACATAGTATAAAAACAGATGTTTGATTAGTGAGAAACATATACAGATGATAAAATTTAACAGTGACAGATATACATTCATATATATATATTGTAACCACATAATAAAAGTTACCATGCAGGATATGTGTAAACCACAAAAAGAAAATACATTGTATGTACATACAACATGCAGAGAATCAGTGCTTCTTAAATTACAGAAAATTACAAAGATGAAACTGGTTCAAGTTTCTCTTTTTTTTTTCACTTTTAGAAATAGAATGTAATATGTACCAAAGTTGATAAATCATACACTGTACATACTGTATGTTTATTTTATAAAATGTATGGTACTTACAGGTCTCACAGGACAAGTGCAAAATGGACCTACCATCAAAAGTAATAAATTAAGTGTATTTATCAATATGTTATGCTGATTAATACTGAAAAAAATCACATAAAAGCATGCAACTTCCATTGTGATATATTCTAAATAATATGTAGCTGAATTTTAGAATTTCTAGAAGCATATCACATACATATGACAATAAGTTACTTTATACATTTGAAATTTCAAAAAACAAAACTTTAATACCATTTTCAAAAATATACGGGAGAGCAGGTTGAATGTAGTTGATCATTGAACATGCACAAGGGCCACAACATAGTGTCTTATCACTGAAAGAAAAATTGCATGTCAATCACAAAACCACATTCCATTAATTTGAAATAAAAAAGGGAACTAATATTTAAATTAACTAGAAATAGGTACTTTTATTAACAAATGCAGATTATGTAATATTAAAAGATAATATTACACTATAGTAGTACTAAAAAAGTACATATCAATTTTTTGTTGAAAAACATTAGCATATTTGACAGCCCATTATGAATATTGTATCAAAAATGTGTATAAGACTAACAATTTGAAATTAGTTAATATTCAGTATGTGAATATAACAATTCAAAACTAAACTTGCCTACAAAGTTTTATAATTCTACTTTACTGGCAAAGCCACTACACATGCATAACAACCCACTTTATTCTAAATAGCCACTCAATAAAAAAAAAAAAAAAGTGTTCATCATATATATATGTACATCAAAAATTACAATTAAAATGCACTTTAAACCATGCCAACTAAACTGTATTTTGCATCATCAGTTTACTAAAATTATCCATTGTTTTAGCTGTTTTTGTGGTGAGTCATGTATCATATAGTTCTAAAACAAAACATAAAAGATTAGTTCCAAAACTGAACTTTGATTGTTCATTGGTAATCTATACAAAACATCTAATATCATACATATTAATTTGGGTAAATATGAGTGAGATAAGTAACACCCTTGTTTGATGTTTATCATTAATCATATAATGGAAATATCCATACGTGTGTGTGTGTGTGTGTGTGTAAGGAGGGAAGGACTCTAAATTAATTCTAGATCAGGGCAACATAGAAGATTAACTAAGAAAATCACAGCTCCCTCCAGTTTTGTTTTATCCAATGCATCAATTTAATCTTTCAGTTCCCATGTTTTTCTTTGGTGTCTTGGAAATGATGTGGCTCTATTGCAGTAAAGGGGGTGGGGACTACAACTCAGAAAGTACAGTCTTACAGTTTGCAGAAATGGTGGGCAGTGATTGTTCATGGGCTTTTATACAGATTTTACCTTTGTGCATGGCAATATCGAGCATTACACAGTGCAGTTGCAATGCATAGGGGTTGGAAAACAGCCAAGGGGTTTTGTCTCTCAAAAAGATGACTGCTCTTTGATTTGAGCTGTGGATAATTACAAGAATGGGCCAGCAAAATGATCCGTCAAAGGCTAATTAGGCTTAAAAAGACTGAATTGACTTTGAGCGATTGTTATGAAAAGAATTATGCTAATTTTATACTGATATTTGACTGAGCTACTAAAGTATTTAAAATTAATCATTTGATTAGCAGAAGCATGTTTTTTTGTTTTTTTTAACGGTCTTTGGTTATAGACAAAGCAAGAAACTGCTGCTGTTTATGCTTCTTCATTTTTTAAAATGGGGTCCAAACACTAACCACATTATATTCAATATCACATTGTATTGAAGCTCATTATGTCAAGGTTAAGGTGTAACTATACAAATATATATAGCATACAATTTTTAGTTACGGTAAGTGCAAGGTAATGCACTTGGTTATCATTATATATGGATCATGGATATAGAAGGTAACCCACTCAATGTTTTCAGTGAAGAAAAGGATCTTGGCATAGCAGTGGATAAGACACTCAGACTATCAAAACAGTTCTCTATTGATAGTTGTAAAGCCAAAAGAATTTTAGGGTATATTTAGATGTATTGATTACAAATCAAAACAGGTAATTCTCTTTATATAAATATTACTAGTTGGACTTCACTTGGAATAATGTGTTTTATTTCCTTTTTTAAGAATATTGACTTACTGGAAAAGGATTCAGAAGAGGGCTATTAGGATGATTCCAGAGGTGGAAGGGTTAACTTATCTTCTCTTGAAAAAAAAGGGTAAGAGGTGATCTAATTGAAATTTACAAAATTATACAGTTGATCAATAGGATAAAGGCCTCTGATTTTTGTGCCATATTCTGAAGATAAAAGCATGAAATTACAGGCTAGGCATCAGTTAAGAGTTTTTCTTTCTAACAGTGTCAATAAGTTGTGAAATTAGTTTGTTTTGGCAGTAGTGAAGACTAGCACATTATATGAGGTTAAAAGGAAAAATGTTTCCAGAAAAGTAATAGATGGGTTTTAGTTTTTGTAGGTGTGCATAGACAGCCTTGAAGGACCAAGCAATCCTTTGTTGTTTGCTACATGTACAAGGTAGTAAATAAGTAGTTAACCACCAATGTCTATAAACTCTTTTGGCCCAAAAAATCAAAATCACTATTTCAAATTCTGGATCTGCATACTCTTAATTTTTTAATTAATATCAAATGCATTACAGTTCAAACAACATATGTTTAAATGCAGACTTCTGTTGGCACATATTACATATATTAACATATTGTTACATACTTATTTCCTGGTTGAATAAGATAATCTACAGTAGCCTCAAACAACTTAAAAAAAGACAAATCAAGTAACCCTGAGAATTGTTCATTAACATAAAAACAACTTACAATGATAATTCATGAACATTGGACAAATGACATTCACATCTGTAGTCTACAACCTGTATGATAGTCTGTATAAGCGATACTAAAAAAAAAACAACTAATGAAAAACTCCTTCCTTTATATACTGCAGCTCAGAAACTGTTGGTGTAACAGGTTTACAATAATTTATATAACTGTACATCACAAACCAATCAACAAAACAACCTTGTCCAGCCCATATTGTGAGTGTTGAGTGAAATCACACATTGCAGTTTAAGTTTAGATAAGAAGATTTTGTGTGTAATGTAATAAGTAGTTAACGATATGATAGTACATACAATAATTATGTGCCAACAGATGCCTACATCTGAAGGAAGAAATATGCTAAATTAATCCTTCAAACACCAAGAATGAAACTTTACAAAATATTTGCTTTAAATATATATACTAGTCTCTAGGTTACAGTAACATAACAAATATGACCATATTAGAAAAAAACAATACTGTTTTGACTATGCCTGTTTATTAAATAGAGATGGGGCTGGCTTGTTTGCAAGGGCTATTAACTCAGCTGTAAGAGCAGCTTTAAACTAGGATTAGACAATGGTGAGGGCCAGGATATACTAAATGCAAGAAAAAATAATATATAGAAAAAAAGTGCAGTGTAGGAGCAAAGTATATAATTAGTTTTAAGGACAACCTAAACTGTTACTACTGTAATGCTAGAAGTATAAAAGATAAAACAGATTACATTAGAGCACTAGTTGAAACAGAGGATTTTGATGTAGTAAGAATAACTGAAACTTGGTTAAGCATAGAAAACTTTGAGTGCAGAAATTTTCTTGAAATACATGGTTATAGCATATTTAATACAGGTAGAGTACTAAAAACAGAGCAAGGAATGGCTTTATATGTAAAATGTAACATCTCGTTAAAGTTGAGGATATCAAAGCCAATAGCAAGGAGGTTGAATCTATTTGGGATTCTGTTAGAAGATAAAGGGAAAGAAGGCTTTTAGCTGGAACTTGTTACTGACCGCCAGATAAAACTTGTGAAATTTAGAAACTCCACAGTGAAAATAGGAATTCAGCTGTTAACGAGGTCATAATTATGATGCATTTTAATTTTGGACATACAGATTGAGGAATGGTAAGAGTCAAACCATGAGGGAAAACAAGTTTTTAGAAACCACTCAGGGTGGTTTTCTTTACCAACAGGTCACAAATGTACTTGGAGGAATGCTATTTTAGATTCATTGTTAACTTCTAATATACAAGTGTTTGCGAGGGTGAAGACTGAGAAACATCTGGGTGTAAGTGATCACTGCTCAATTGTGTTTGATTCACAACACATGGAGATTACAAATAATGAGAGTTTGATTATAAATTTCAAAAAAGGAAATTTTAAAGGTAAAACAAAAAACTATCTGTTATGATTTATGCAACTGAATAAAGTGGAGATACTGATCTAATGTGGAAAAATTTTTACAAATAATTTTTAAATATTCAAGATAGACAAGTTACTTATAGAAAAGAAAAGGGTGTCTGTAAAGAAAAAAACTAAACATTAATTCATATAGAGTACAAAATGTAAAATTAAAGTAAAACATAAGTCTAAGAAGCTCAAATAGGCTGCTATGATGGGAGACTATGAGGCTTACGAAAGATGAAGAGAGTGGGCCAAACAGGAAATTGAAAAGGTATATGAAAGAAAAAAGGTTGGTTAAAAATGTAAAAATTAAAAATAAAATGTTAGAGTGGGAGTAGGGCCTTTGTGTGATGATAAGGAAAGCTCATATCTAATGATTATGAGATAGCTGGGTTATTAAATTCTACTTTTCTTTCAATTTTTACTAATGAAGACTTAAGCAATATTCCTCATCCTGAACACTCATTAGATGGAAATGAGATTGATCATACTTACCATACTAACACTGAGCTTATTAAGAAAATATTGGGAAGTTTAAAGAATGATAAGACTCCAAGTATTGTGAAAGAGATTGAGGAGTGGATATGTGAGCCACTTACTACTATTTTTTGTTGCAATAGCGGGCAGGTGCCAGAAGATTGGAAGTTCACTAATGTTACTCCTATTTTCAAGGGAGGTCATTAATGTCACAAGTGGAATACCTTAAGGCTCAGTGTTAGAAATTTTGTCTTTCTGATTTATATCAATGACCTCGTTAAAAGGAATGCCTAATAAACTATTTACACTTACTGATGATATTAAGGTCTTTGATGGTGCTGGCTATGAAGAGAATGCTGTTGTTTTACAAAAAGATTTAGATTATTTGGCAAGTTGGTCAAATAAATGGTAGATGGATTTTAATTATAATAAATTCAAGGGAATTATGCAGGTTATCATAACTTAAATGACATGTATAATATTGATTGGAATAACCTTAACAGTGTTATGAAAGAAAAAGATCTTGGAGTTCTGGTTGATCCGTGCATACAGTATCCTGTTGGTAGTGGTAGGGAAAATAGAATTTTAGGTTGTCTCTATTGAATACAAGTCTAAAGCGATTATAATCTCACTGTTTTGGTCACAATTTACTGTGATATGATTGAGATGTTTAAGATTGTTCAGGGAATTCATAATTTCAATACATCATATTTCATACTTAATAGTGAGAATGTAGGACAAGGGACATGAATATAAATTCTGGTATGGTAGGAGTCACCTTAAATTTAATTTTTCTAGCAGGGTGTCTGTCCTTTGAAATGGGTTGCCTTTAGATCTGGTGGATGCAGTGAATGTAAATGAGTTTAAGGAGTGGCATGATAAATATATGAATAATAAGGGCTAGTTTGACTGTTATATATATTTATTTGTTATATATCTATTTAATATAATGAATGGGATGGCCTAAATAAACCAACATGTCCCTTATTGTCCTTTTCTCTCACTATGTTGGATGTCTAAAAATAATTCAAGTAGCTTTCAAATATCCATTTTTAGAACACAAAAATAGAATGTCTAAAAAGTACAATTAATCTAGCTTTCTAACTAACCTATAGATAAGTTAAAAAAAATCCTATTACTGCTCTTTAGTCTGAACACATAAGCTCTTCCATGATTTACTGGCCAAACTAGAACAATCTGATTTATGTAGTATAGAATATGGTCTTCCTACTGGTTATAAACATGACCAGCAGCAATGCTGGAAAAAATTATATACATTTTTTAAGAGGCAGAGGACATGGGAGGGAGCATGTCAGTGTAGGCTGAACAAACATAGTGATATCTCAGTTATGCAAAAACAGGTTGAATTTTTATATTTTAGCTTATTAATGTCTATAGTATGTGTTTCTAATTGGTTGAATAATCTGTATCCCTTTTAAGAGATGAGAAAAAAAAGATCTTATTCAGAGTGCAGATTGAAAATATACTTAAATATTTTCTTTTGAAATTAAGATAT